AAACCGGGGCCCCCCCCCCCCCCCCCCCCCCCCCCCCCCATGGCAGCAGGGCACATTGCAGGACTGTAAGGAACTGGCAGCAAATTTGCTCCCTGCATGTATAGATACCTGCCCAGAAACCCTTACTGTGCAGCATTTTACTGCATAGAAAATCTAAGATGGAGTAAATGCATGTGTAGACACTCCCATTGATTAAGCCCTAAAAGATCAAATCCTAATCCCATCACTTGACACAGGCAGGGTGAACAGTGCCTGGGTGTGAAAGAGAAGTATGTATGAAAGCATTTCTTAAAGGCCACCAAGTAGATTTGAAGTCATTATCTAAAATACGTTCTAGCTTATGACCACAGCTGGTATCACAGGTGAAAAAGCCAAGAGAATTTGCAGAGTAATAGGTGTTCTGGCTGTGCCTCTGCTTTAGTTTACTCATGCTTCATCTCCCATACTTGAGCTTTGTACCATGCTAAGTACACAGCCTGCAATAACCCTTCAGAGACCTGCCTGAAATTGCATTTTGGTTTATTTGTTGATAGAGCCTCCTTGACATCATATGCAGGGACAGAGCCTTATCCTAAAGACCTGTTATTGGATTTGGTTAAGCTGCATGTTCTAAACTTCAGCAGTTTCCTGTGAAGTCACTAGGATTTCTGCTAATAATTTCTCTCAGTGGAGTTGGAGGCAATATTTGAATACTGTATAACTTCCAGGTTTTTTTGTTCAGATGTCAGTATCGGCTTTAGGGCTGGTTTTTGACCAAGATGGACTCTTTGATTGGTATCTGATTGATTTAATATAAGCCAACTCTTGTTTCCCTGGGTGTCCTGCTCTCCAGAGAAATGTACATGTTCACAGCTGTATTGCTGCACTGAAAAAGTCCCATTGAATTACACAAATACAGACAGTGGCTCTTAACAGTTAATGCCTTTCTCCTTGCTGAGTCGAGAGGGTTTATCAATCAACCAAAAAGCTGGTAAGAGCTGTGTACTGCCCAAAAATATCAAGGGCCAGTGGAAAATATGGCAAGAGGCCAAGCAATTTTAAGAAGCACAGCTCCCCAGCCATCTTCCCTGTGTATGCCACACATCTAACAATGTTTAGGCAGGAATAACACAGAGCCAGAAAACTCATTGCAGGCCTGGAAATGAGGAATTAAAAATAAGCCTGCAACTAGAGTACCCTTCAGGGCAGCCTGGGAGATAGCTTACTTGAATAAGTGTTAACTCCTCAGCTACTATATAATGCCTTGGGAGCTGGCACTGCCTGAACATAAATTTCAAAAACAAGAAACAGTGATTTCTTGATGAATCAGGTAAAGTGGAAGTTCAGAATCTAATTCCACAGGTTCTGTGAGCATCAAAGCTCAGGAATATTTTTAATGAACAGGACCCTTAATTAGTCATTTTAGTTATCTTATCTTTAATTCATAATTACTGTTTTGCTGTTTTCAAAGCTTTTATCAAAGGAAGCAGGCCATTGTAATTCAGGATGTAGATTTTTGTTTAGAGAAATGCTTTTGAACTAAATATTTTTAAACATACTTACATTTAATCTTGGATGTCTGTATGTTATTATTTTATTTATTATTTCAGAATCTATTGGAAAACCTCTGAGGTCAGTTATTTTCAGCAACAGTTTCTGGCAGGTAGTGAATTAAATTGGTCTGAGAAGTCACCTTGGAAAACTCATCTCACTGGAAACACAAAAAATGAAAAGGAGAATAAAAGACTGATGCAAAAGAAAAAATGGTGCTTTTCAATACTCTCTCTTTAACATTGTGATTAGAGGTCATGGATATCTTTATATTCTGAGACCTCTGATTTTAAGGTTAAAGAAAAGTCTATGGGTTCATTTGTCTTTACTAAGTAAGGTTCTGATCTTACATGTCTCTGAGTGAAAAGGCAAACTTAGGAAATATGTGCCTTTGTGACTATAAAATACAGACAACGGTGTAAACTTTATACAGTAGCTTATTGAGCAGATGGGAAATTATCTGGATATTACTTGTGTTCATATGATCTTGGGGGGAGAGAGAATATAACGGGTAAATATATATCATGCAACATTATTAAAAATGAAATGAAATCTCCAAACAATTCACACCAAAAGTGACAAAATATCTACATTTCACACCTTCTCCTATTTCTTGTATTAGTCTAGTTCCAAGACTTACCCAGCACATGCCCAGCTTGCAGAAAAATAGCAGCAACATTTCTGTTTATTCTAGAATAAAATTAACAGGCTCATCCAATGAACTTACAAACACTTTTTAAATCAATGGAATACATTTTTAAAAACAGACAGATAATTGCCATTCTTTTCAACATTTTTTTCTCTCGTGTGTTTGAAACAAGTAAACTAAGAACTAATTCCGTGTAAATCTGTGGAGTGCACACTTGCTTTCTTGCTCTCCCCACCTACCCCTCTCTCCATAACATAACTCATCATTCAGTTTCCCAGAATAGATGCCATGGAAAAATTGTCAGTGTTGGGGATTGGGGATGGGTTTTCAAAAGTTTTCATTCCTGTACCAATTCTACCACTGAGCTTCTTGACAAAGCTATCATGAATTTGTATAGAAACAGTTGGGCCACTATTTTTGTGTTTTTTGAGAATTCCTCTCTAGTCATCAGAGTCATACCTAATGAAGTGTTACTTCTCTGACTCCATGCTTAACTGAGCAAAAGAAAAGACTGTTCTTTTGAGACTACAAGAGGGGCGCATAATCTGACCAAAATTGCAATAAAAGATTAAGGAATAAAGAGAGCCAGAAACTAAGCTAGCATAAACACTGAAGTCCATAAAGGAATAAATGCTGCTTGAGGACCTGGCCTCCAGTGTTTGATACTTTCTGGCCATGTCTGTGTGCAGCAGACTGTGCAGTTGTTACTGCACAAGTACTGTTGCCGCACGAGTACAAGTTATTTACAGAAGTGCAATGCATGTGTAGAGAGTGATGGGGCTGGCTGGGGCACAAGGGGGCCACTGTAGCCCCCTTGCCCTGTAGCCCCCTTGCACTGTAGCACCCTTGCACTGTAGCACCCTTGCACTGTAGCACCCTTGCACTGTAGCACCCTTGCACTGTAGCCCCCTTGTGCCCCAGCCAGCCCACCCATAGCACATTGAGCTGGGGGGAGCAGCTCCAGGCTGGCAGGCAGACCTCCAGGGACTCCTGCCAGCCAGGGCAACACTACCCCAGCTCAATGTGCTGCAGTCCTGGGCACGGATGTAAATGCTGCACCCACGAGCAATAAACTCCAGCAGAAACTGCACTACTGTGTATTGTGTTGTGCTAACTGCACACATTGATGTGCCCATAAAGTAGTGAACTCTCTAGTATATCCTTCCAATCTTTGCAGTGTTTTTGTCCCGAATGTAGAAAAGTTGTGCGAGTCATACGATACAGGAAAATTGGGTCTGTAGCTTAAAAGGCTAACTTCTCTTTGCCCTTATGCATTTAAGTTTCACAACAGGAACAACCTGATTCTTTGGATGAAGCAGAAGAGCTGTCAACTGCCAGAAGTGATGTTGAATGCCCTGCTTATGCTATTACAAGGACATTTTTTAAGTATTCTGTTGGTTTAACTGCTCACATTGAAGTCAATAGAAGTTTTACCCTTGACCTCAGTAGGAACAGAGTTAAGCCAATGCTGAATGCTTTGAAAAACCCACTGTTATCTGCTAGCTCACTCTGCAGAACAATTTGAGGTACAGCTGTTCAAAAACCATTGGAAAAATCTTGTAAAAAAAAATCAAAGTTGTCTGCAATTTTCAGACTTCAAAATGAGTCTAAGTTCCAAGTAGGAATAGTGATGGTAACAATATCTAAAATAATTTATCTAAAAAACACTTAGGCACATAAAGCAAGACGTGGGCAGACACTGGGAACGTAAGTACAAAACCGATTAAAAAAAAATATCTTGGAAGAGGCTGTTTAAACTCATTGAACTTTCCCTAGGTCCCTGCATTTATAGCAGTTCTGGTTATCTCCCAAAGTCATATTCTGATCAACTAGGCATGCAGGTACTGTACTGATCTACATTCAAGATACCACTTGGAAAATGTCAGTTCTTAGCTTGTACTTGTTTCTTGACTATAGAAAAGTGATAGAGCAATTCTTCTGTTACAAAGAATTCAGAAAGACCATAGCACAATGTATGACACTATGGATTCCTATTTGGAATTCCTGGGTACAAATAATGTGTAGGTGCCAATATTGTGTGACACCCACATCACCTTTAAAGAAATCTTATGACACTCAAGAGTATCATAGCACACTGGTTGAGAATCACTGATCTAGAAACTTCTCGAAGAGCTGTAAATCTCCTGAGGGCCCAATCCAGTAGGCATGCTCAAAAACACATTGGCAACATTCAGTTCAGCTAAAAACTCAGTGACTACTTTTCTTCACAAGGGGATCACCACTGGCCTTTTATACAGTAGCCTAGCAGTTAGAATTGAAAGTTGGAGGTCTGGGTTCTATGCCCTCCTCACCCAGAAAGATTTAAATCCATATCTCCCACTTCCCATGAGAGAGCCCACATACTGGGCAATAGGCTAGCTTTGAGCAGGGAGGAAGGAGGATGCCTGTTACACTGTTGTGTAGTGAAGAATATGAAAGTCATGGGGGTCACAATGGAAGCATGTAAGAAGGATCCTTGCCCAGTGATTAAGGCACTAAACTGGGAAGGGAGAATCTGGGTTCTCATATCTAACTCCCTGGATTGTTTTCATCTTGTTAATGAGAACAAGTTATTAGTACGGCTGTGCAAAATTTTGCCAACTGTTTCATTTCAACACTGTTTTGATTCGTTTTGAGCTCGAAACAGTGAAATTGAAATGAAACGAAGGGATTCAAAACAGCTTCAAAATGAAACGAGGGCCGCTGAAACATTTTGAAAGTTCTGAAACATTTTGAGTTTCAAAGCTGAAGCTGGTCTTGCCTGCAGGGGAACAAAGTAAGGAGAGGAAGGAGGAAGAGGGAGGAAGGACTGCTGTCATATACAGCGTGACTGTTTGGCTGCCTGAGATGCTGCTAGTGCTACTGGGCTGCTTACTAAGTTATTACCTGTTGCTGTTTAAAGTGGTGGACTGGACTGAGGCTGTAGGGGAGGAAGAGACCTCATTGGGGCACTACTGTGTCGTGTAGAGGCCCCAGTGCCAGTGGGGGCATGCTTTAACACACACACAGAGTCACAAATGTCAGGAGTTTTGCTTGTCAGCAGCTCAAGGTGTAGTTTCCCAGAAACCCCTACACCTGTCTCCTTGAAACTTGGCAGTCTTTGTGGCCTCAGCAGGGGGTAGCATCCCTGCTGTTTTCACCCCCCACCCCCGTGCCTTCACGTGTAGAAGTGACACAAGTTTTGCTTTCAAGACTTTGAGGTGCAGTTTCTCAGAACCCCCTGCACCTATCTCCTTGAATCTTGTTAGGTTTCATGCCCTCAGAAGGGGCTGCCCTCCCTGCTGTTTTCATCCAAATCTGCCAAAAATGACAAAGTTGTAGGCAATTTTGTGATTCCCCATAATAGTCAATGGGCAGAATGTCAAAACAGCAAAATAGTTTCAACAAAACGAAATGGAACAGTGCTTCGAAACGAGACAAAACTCCAAACAAAACACTGTCCCATTGAAATGTAAGTCAAAATGAAATGGTGCTGTTTTGCACAGCCCTAGTTATTAGATATAAAACAGAATTTTGTTATTGACTTTTCATGGAAAAATGTGCAACAGCCCTAGTTGGCAGCTGTACTACAAGTGTTATCTTTAGGCTGAGTTCAATGCTATTTATGTGAGTTGGGCCTAGCCACTATCCCACCTACAACAGAGCTTATAGGGGAGTTAGGCACACTTAAGTTCTCTATGTAAATTGGTTCCAAACATGCACAGAAACCATAGTATTGATGGCTGGGGCATTTTACAGTCCAAAATAAGAGAACGTAATGTTTTTAGGCATCTAATGAGTTTGACTATTGGCACACTGTCAACTTAAATTACAGTTTCAAATTTGTGCATGTAAATTCCACCTAAATTCTGTTTAGTAGCCATTTTGAATCCTACGCACTGCAACCATAAAAATGACTATAATTAAGTGCCTTGAAGTAACAAAGCACTGTAGTTAGGTGTGTGTTGTTTTGCAATATAGTGTGAATGATAATGTGAATATACAGCTGTTGAAAGTAATAGCTCTCTATTGATGCTAAGTATTTTGCCATTATTGTTACAGTCAGTAAAGCTCACAAGAGTCATTCAATGTAAATTCTTATATTAAATGTTTATAACAGGTTTAAAGAATATGAAAACAGTTTTAATGATAACAGTAGTGAGTGATGTTAATTCCTCAATATCACTGAAGCAGTCAACCTCCTCAACCGATTGACAGTTTTCCATACAAGACTGTTAAATAAGGAGAAATAGAGAGACACAATGGGGAAGCAGTATTTCATTGTCCAGACTCCCAAGATAAATTAAGACAGAGCATGGTGAGGGAAACAGGAAGTTGCTATCAAAGTTGTAGCAGGTTTGGAGTATTGTTGTAGCCATAACCTGAAACCAGGCTTGAGGAAGGATATTTTTCTCAAAAATGTGTTTTGCTTTTGTTCAAATTATAGTTTGTTTTTATATAATCAACCCCCCCGCCCAACCACCACCCCCACCACCCTCTTGTTTCTGTTGGAGCTTATCCCTATTTTTTAG